CTGCTTTTAACATTCATCTTCCAATTTTTATTTATTCTTCGTTTTTATGTGGAACGAGTTCAAAGCGACATATTGCTCGAGAATTGTATTTCTGTCTGTTAATTTTTTGATATACTATAAACTCAATTTTAAACGTCGTATATATTTCCATCTCTGATTATACAACTGATAAGACATTTTAATTAGAGTCTGACCGAAACGATTTCTTTTAATTTCGAGTGAAATCAAAAACAAATATTCAGTTATATGTCCATTTCGGCCGAAATCGAAACTTTTATGAGAATCTTAAATAAAAAGGCCGTGTGTGTGTATACAAACGCATATCATACACACACTCTGAAAAAGAAATTAAAAATATATCTTTAATATTTCTTTGAATATCTGTAAGTAAACATTTATCAAATGTTAATATATATTTATTTGACACAAGAACCATTAATTTAATTTAACTACGATTTTTTCAATGAGTAAATATTTATTTATTATAAATAAATGTTTATACAAACAAATATTTAAAATATATATTTATCATACATTAAGATATAATAAATATTTAATAAATCTTTTCCAGTGTATAATACCAAGAAGAAAATAAATATGTTTCACATTAGACTAAATTTAAAATTATATTACGACTTGATTAGTTTTGGCTACGTCGCGAAACTCTATTCCAATTTCAGCTGAAACTGAAATCTAACCGAAATTTCGATTTTTAGCTGAATCTGTCCGTAATCGAAACCAAAACCAGATTTTCGGTCGGATTCTAATTTTACTACAGCAATATTACAATTTATGGAAATCCGTTATCTATAATTTTCATTTTTCACTGCGCATTTCGAACATTTAGTTAACAGAAAGAGATACAATTTCTGTTTTTCGTCAATCTTTATACAATATGGCCAGCATAAACTGTTATTTAATATTTAATAATTATTAGTTATTTAATAATTAACATCTCAAGAACTAATTGTAAGATTATTGTACGCGTTTTCTTGGTTTAACTGATTCTTTAACTTTTTCTACTTCTAAAAATTAGAAAAAAAGAAAGAGTAAGTTGATTCAAGAATAAAACTAATGTACGTTAAAACAGACATTAATATAGACAATTAATAAACATGATCTAATTTTTTAGGCGAAAAAAGAACAAATTTAAATATCGTCCTTTCAGTGATATGTACGACTCTATAAAATTCGTTGTTCACAAAAGTTTAATAATAATTTAATAATAAATTAATGAATTTAATAATGTTTTTTTTTTAAATCGTACATATCATTAAAAGCTTAATATTTATAATTTTTGTCATTTCGTCAATTAATTATTGGATCGTCTCCACTAACTAGACACTTATTTTACGTAATTAATTTTAATCGTCCTTGTCTCAAATTTCTTAGGTTTCAAGAATCTTTAAATTAATGTTAAGATTGATCTCCCTTCATCTTTCTTAGAGGAATAAAACGAGGATAACTTTGAAATGGATACGTATAAAAACAATCACCTTTTATTAATTCTTCATCAAAAGATAAGCTTCTTTTAAGATAAAAGATAATCTGAAATATTTTTTCATAAAACAATTTCTTCAAGCATTTAAAGTTGAAAGTGAGACGACTTGATTAAATCGAGGTAAATTGAAAATAAAAGTAAAAATGTAATTTAATTTATCAACTGCTTAAAGTTGATTATTATTTATTTGTGAACATTTGTTCTAAGAATAAAATTGTTTCTCATACACGATAACATTTCGAGGATTACTGTGACATATGCCAAAAAATATTAATAATAGCAATAATAAATTATTAAAAAAGACAAATTATATCTATTTGATATATAAATATACAATATAGCTATTGCTTAAGAGCGTATGCAGTTTAAAATAAATTATTGAAAATAGACTCGCATCACTTTCAATAAAAACATTTATGTAATTATAATAAAACGATCAAACTTCTATTAATTAATTTATAAAAATAGTGTACCTAAGCATTGTATACTCTTGGCTAAAAGTAAAATCACTCCCACAGATTGATGTAAACTATAACTAACAAAAAACGATTATTTTAAAAAATATTTAAAAAATAATATTTATTTTTGTAATAATTTTAATATTTTGTTAGTTTTCCTTACGATTTTGTTAGTTTCTTTTCAACAAAATACAATAAATTGAGGATACATTATACTTACAGCCAAGGCTGTACTTAAAAAATAAAGAAAATAAAAAGAAGACGAAAATCTGTAAAAGAAGCTTTAACTCATGTTTTTCAAAACTGGACTTTCAAAAGAAAAAAGAACATCTCGCGTAACGTTCCTTATTCTCAGGATAATAAACTTCGGAGTTCCGTTTCGCGCTCACCGCTCTCCACACCTTTCGCATTATTTTTAGAAGACGCCCGCACGACGCCGTGCGCCTGAAGGGTTATTGTTAAGATAAATCTCACTCTGTCCTCTTTCCCAGACTCTACCTTCGGCCCTTCCGGCTTAACTCAATTTCCCCTGTGCCGCGGCGCGGACCACCGGCTCGCCGCTGATGTAAAGTCTAGTTTACACGAACAACGACGTTCGGGTGGGTGCGCAAGGGCGAGATGTACAGAGAGCGAATCCGACCACTAATTAAGAGACGCGTCGCGGTTCGTTCGCGCTCCGGGAATTCGGGGTAGTATCTCTCTCCCTTACTCGTCTTGAGAGACGAATGCGCTCGTTTCGCGAACACGTATTCTTCGGGGATTCCATTACGTTACCCGACACACACCGCCGCGGGATGTTACGACAAATTCTTATTGTGTCTCACGGATTCCAAAAACAAGACATGTCCCCCGTCGGGTCTTATGTTTTTCGCAACATCGGATGTTCCGGAGAAGTAATTATTAAATCGGTCTCGTCTTATTCGCTTATTATTTAAACTCATCAAAGAGCTAAATAAAAGTTTTATTTAAGAAAAAAATCCTCTTCAAAAATTTCGCGATATCGAACGATCTAAACTTTATATATACATATATATCTCAAATATCATTTTTTTTTTATTTATTTCCCAATCTCTGACTTTGAACTATAATATATATACACAATTTTTCATGATAAAAAAATAATATAACATAATATAACATTGACATAAAATGCAATCCTTAATCATAAATCATATTTTTTTTCTAAATATCAATTCTAAATATCAAAATATTACCTTTATTATCCAAATAAATTAATATCAAGTATTACTAATGTATTCTTATTTTATTTGTGTTTAGTGCTTAAATAAAAAAAGTTTGAAAGGTAAACATAAATAAAGTTTCAGTTCCAAAAAAAGATTATTTTCATAAGTTTTACAAAAAAATGGGATAATCTAATATCCTATTACTCATTAGAGATCAGTCATATTTCATTAATTTATTATTTATTATATCAAACTTATCAAAATTAAATATAAACAATGTTGTATTTTAAGAGGAGAAAAATTATTCTCAAAATATTTTAATCTTCCGTTCATTTTATTTCTGTCTCAAAACTTCATCCACTATCTCTTAACATCATTCGAAAATACCTAGATCCTTATACGCTTCCCAGATGTGTGCAAGATTTCATCAAAATAACAAAGTGAACGCACAGAACACAATTAAAATCGAAATCTCCGAATTGGTAGGGTTTCCTCGCAACGATCTCGGCTCCGACGAATCTCGCGAGGAAATCGGGGAATACCGAGATGATGGGATAATCGTGAATCGTGCGAAGGGAGGCCGGGAACCGAAGACGACGTCTCGGAGTCTGCGGCCCCGAGGATCCAATTATCCAGAGGAATAAAATTGCGCTCGAGGGCGAATCGTCCGCTCTCGCACGCGTCGCTCGCGTATCCTGGACGGCGAGTACGGGGGAGTAATTTCGCTATAATGCCAGTGCCGCGGTGCGGCGGGGCGGGCCTCATCGGCGACGTGTATTGTTGAGTCGGTGGTTTCATCGTGTTTACCGTGGCGATGCGCCGTGACGGTCGCATCGCCGGGAAAATTGAGTTACGAGGGGAGGAGAAATAGAGTAACTTCCGCGCACAAGACGACAAACATGATGAAGCGTCCGATACAGCTTGGCAAGAATAGGTATATACGATCTCTGGATCGATTCGTTAAAATTCGATTTCTTGTGAAAAGATCGCTTTTAAAAATTACCCTTCTAATTAAAAAAAAAAAGAAGATTCTTTACCAAAAAATCAAGATAAAATAACTCCTTTTAATTAGAAAACTCAACATACAGGATCGTCAGCGCAGTTACAACGAAACCAACGCTACAACTGTCAACTGACGGCTAAGATTCTGTTAGTCAGTACTGGACCATCACTGGCAAATGACTGCCTAAAATGATTGGGCCAGTATCAATCTACCAGTATTACCAAGTTATGATCCAGTACTTAGCCAGAACTGCGCCACTATCATGGCAATCAATACTGACCCAATACTGAGCCGATTGTAAAATTCTATATGGGAATTTTTTGCAAAATAGATCAGTTTAAAATCGTTGTGAGTACATAATAATGATCCCTTCTCAAATTTATAATAAGTATACTTTGAGATTATTATTAAAGATAATCGTTTCTTAAAGAAAGAAAATAAATTAAGTAATTATTTTTTTAAAGAATGATATTTTTTTGATCGTACACATTTGTAAAACTGTCTATTACCTGCAAAAATTAAAATTTCGATTTTCAAGACAATGCAGTGAACACTAATGATCCACAATGATCATGTTATATACTATCTAAGTAGATTGTGAAGAAATAATTATAACAATTGTTCCCGAATGCAGCATAAACTATACAAGATATCGCAGTATTCCGTAATTCCCCACTTATTCCATAATCGCATTCCTTTCCTCCATTTAGTTTCTTAAATAACTTTTTTTTCATTTTTTTATATATATTATAAATATTATATCTATTTTTTTTCGAATTTTTAAATTATTTAAATATGTTTAATGTGATTTATCGGTTAAAAACGTGTTTTTTTTGTAATTATTCTCAACTTACCGGGACACCCTGTGCTGTGCTATCCTACCGTGACTGGGCAGTGTCACGTTGCTATCACTTTTCGACCAGGTAACGGAATTCTTGGCGTCGGGCAAGTCAACCTTACCCAGGTAAGCTTCGCAGAAGAGCCTCGCTGTACCTCCTAGAGGTACCAACTGCGAGGTCGGTCTGTAAGTGGGTAAAGGTTTTCCCGTGTAGACCCCGGACTCCTCATCTGAAATTCAGATTACATCTACGATAAATTTAAATTATAAAATTTATAAGCACGTGGATGTATAACCTTCGACATAGTATAAGTTACGTATACATTAACGCGCGGTAATCTGCACGTTAGTTAGTATATACGTTCTTCAGGAATCGGTCGTCTTATCTTCGGCGGCATTTAATAGCACCCGATGATTAACGACGCTCCTTAACGTGGCAGACATAATGAATCTTACGAAAAATGAAAATCACTTTAATATCGCCTCGCATTACCGCGATTCCCGCACCGCGCTATTGCTATGAATTACGAGTGGCCTGCATTATCATGATATACTCCTCCGCCATTTATTGTGCCACGCTTCATCCTCCGCGTGTTCATATTTAATGCGAAAACACTTTTCGACAGTGTCTTTCCATCTCGCTCCAAAGAAGTCGTAAAAACCATCTATCTGTCACGAATCTTTATGGATCCACTAAAGAACCGACTTAAAAGTAATTAGTTTGAAAAATAATTTCTCTCATAAACATAATATTGTTAACATAAAATTGTCAGCCTTTATAATCTTTAAATATTTAATATTATGTATACAATCTGTTTTGAAAGTTTCCAAACTTTATCTAAAAATTTAATTTCTTATAATATTTGTAATTTTATTTATTAATTATTCCAAATGCATTCTATCTGAAATAATACTTACGATCGTAAAATTTCTAGAAACATTCCTAACATTCCTAAACTTTTTTTAAAATGCGAGAAATGACCTCGGTCGAAACTTTCCGTATCTCATAATTTTCGAAATTGTGTTAAAATGTTTTTTCAGTTTCATTTTTAACTTTAAAAAAGGAAAATAGTCGCAAAAGAAAACTATATAAATACGGTGGATGGTCAAACACTAAGACACCTTTTAGGGCTGTGTTCATTCTATGTTCCATTATTTTTCTCTTTAAGTCAAAATGTACTCTCATTTTTGACATCACATATAAATAATACAGCACAAAGAAATATAACTCTAGAAAGTTAGAAATCAAATGTTAGGAAATAATTTTAGAAAATAATTTTATACTACTTTAATAGATAGCTTTAATTATTTAGCCTATAGACAAAAGTTCGGAAATTTTTGAAACAGACAGTATATATTAATCGATAAAATAAAATCTAAATTAACACTTAAGCGGATATTTCAATGGCGAAGTTATTTCTCGCATTCCTTCAAATTCTTTGATACCAAATGGTAATGAAATATTTCGCTTTAAATTTTAATTAGTAGTAATAAACTCCTTGAAATGCTTTAAAAGTATCGTAATTTTCATTACTTCTACCAGAGATGGTGATAGACAGACATTCGATTAATTAATTTAATTAGCTGGATGCATCGGGCGGCCTTTGAAACGCGCTGTAGAGCGCGGCATCGAAGTGCACGGGAGTGTGTAGACATCGAGGGCATCGAATGAAAGAAGCCGGCGGATAGTGGATGGTGGATGGCGGAAGGTCACAGGTCGTTGAGTCGGAACGGCGAGAGAGAGGAAATAGAGACAGTGCGTTCAGGACGCCCGGATGGGTAATTCAATCAGCACTGATGCGCGAAAAACGCAGAATTAAACAACCGTCTATTAATCGAAAATGTGCGCGCATGTGAAAAGGGCGCGTGCTACGCTTATCGATTACTGTTGATTAAAATTGATGGATGGCGATGTTGAATGATCAACACTCGATGCCATTTGAATTATTGCTATTTTGAATGTTTTGCGTTTATTAACCGTCCGGTATGATATCAGAGTGCCGCAAATGTAGAGGCTTTATATTATAGAATATTCTGAAATTCACAGTGAATTCGCGTAAAATCAATACACAGTGCTCATAAATTTACGTTTCGCGTTATTCAGAAATTTAAATGAGAAGTTTGCTCGCAAATCAACTTGGGAAATGTATTTTTTAATTATACTTACTTATTTCCGAGATAAATGAGTCTCCGAGCTGCAGTGAAGTCTTAATTTCGGTAATATCCTCCTCGCATATATACTCGCAACAATATAATGTACAATATAAAGATACATTTATACTTCTCAGGTTTTCACTTTATAGTTGATGCTACATAATTTTTTTCGATACATTAACTACACTTGTAACTAAGTAAAATTTGTGTAGTTTCATAAGATTAATTTTTTTAATACAATAAATGCATGAGACTTGTGCTACATTAAAAAAATATTAAAATTTAGTAAACATAAAAAATATTAAATAAATAAATTCTAAGTAAAAATATTTACAAAATGTAAATATATATTTATTTTTGATACAAGAACCATTAATTTTATTTAACTATTATTTTTTTAATGAGTAAACATTTACTTAGTGCTATAAAATAAATATGTATTAAGATTTAGCAATATTTTTTTGTGTAACTTATAAAAAAATAGAATTGATACAATTTCCTTAGACTAATTTTTTAAATACAACAGATATATAAAATTTTAATTCCTAACAATAAAAAAGCACCAATAGAAAGGATATATCATTTTCGTGATCAATAGACGAATTTAACGTACGGTACTCAAACAGTTTTTATTGATTCATTTAATGTCCTCGAGTTTTATCTTGATGTTCCATTCATCGCACCTATCGTTATTTGAATATCTCTGACACGAACAGGTGCACGGGGAAGTTTCGACTTCATTTCGAAAAAGCGCGGCGCATCGAACGATCCGGCCGATTATGCGTCTCAGCGCACCTTACCGCATCCGGCCAGCCGGATATTCGGATACAAACAAACTGCTAACTGTCGAAATTATGATACATAGGCCGCGCATTCATTACCTGCCACCATTACTATAAACGCAAACATCCGCCAGTAATATAGGTCAGATCAAGTTAGGATTAGGTTAAAGTTAACATGGCGATTCCGTTATCAGTTTACTTCTTCCGATTTCTAAACATATCTACGCTATAACAATTTAAAAATAATTTTTCTAGTAATCAGCAGAAGGTATTTAAAAGAAAAAATAGATACGATTTCACATACAAAAATTTAAAAAAAATTAAAAAATTCTTTTTAAATTCTTTTTCTCTCTTTCACACACCATCTTTCTCTCTTTATGATCTCAAAGTTTGTATTACAAAATAAGATGCAGATAAGTTGAGAGAAGAACCACTTCATGGTTGCGTCGCCTAACTTAACTTATAAGCGTGAACGCGAAGTGAACAAGTTAACGTTTTCTTCAAAGAGTGGAAGACAAGTTCCATTAGTCGGGAAGTAAAGGGTGCTTGAATATGTTCGCCTAGGTTCGCAATTAATATCGTATAATCGAATCACGACGAGGACTTGGAGCGCCGCTAAATTCGGCGAATTGCCGTGAGCGCCTTCAAAGCGGTCGCCATTTTCCAGAGTTGATCCTCGCGGCAAGGCTGCTGTAACGATTTAATTATACCTTGCGGTAGGATAGGTAATTTCGTGAGAAGCTAGGTTGCACTCAGTTAGGTTCGCCAAACGAAAGCGGAGGTTGCAAGAATACTCTGTAACACAGGTAACTATATATTCGCGATGGCGATTTTCCAAGATGGCGGTGACTCGTTGGCTCGTCATGGCGGCCGAGCAAGACTATTAATCTCGTAAAGCTCTTGCAGCTTTACGCCCACGTCGATATTTATCGGAAACCGGCCAATTTGTGCTCACCTAACGGCCTCGTCGTCGTTCGCGTAAGCCTCTATGGTTCCATTAGGTTATCCAGATAAAATATTGACGGAACCTAACCTAACTTGATCGATACACCACGTCTTAGAAGCATGATAAATTGGCAATCGTTAAATAACACGACTGATAGTCACAGAGTTACTCAAAATAGCGAACTTAAGGCAGATTAGGTTAACAATGTACATACATGATGATAAAAGCTTTTTGGATAAATACTTCAAAAATTTTAAAAGACAATTTGATTTATGTGCCGTAAAAAAATGAAGCATCTTTCAAGAGTTATCTAAATATTTTGAGCGATCAAAAATCAGTTTAGTCTTAACAAAAATTTGATCAAGTTGATGAAGCGGTAATGAACTATGTGAAGCTTTAATAGAATCTATCGCAGCAGCTGTTACATACTGGTATTAAAGAAATAATGACCAGACAAATAAAATATGCTAAATTCCTTTAATATTTGACAGTAACTGAAGTATTACTGAATGTAATTAAAATGTATTTAAATAACATCTCCAAAATACTTAAAGATTAAAGTAGACGATTTTGGTTTGATGACCTAGAACCGTAAATAGAAATTACATTACGCTAAATTATTTTTAATGCGTATGTGTGTTTCTCACAACAGACAAAATATAACATTTAGAGAAACATATTTGGTACATTTTAATTACTTGATACATTATTAAAACAAAGGAAACCGATTCCATAAATATTATAATAATTTATCAAAGTAATTCAATCAACAAAGTGATTCAATCTACAATAATATGTTAAATAGGTATGTGCTTCTCCATTTATTTTCTCTAAAATGATAATTACGTTTACCATTTTTTCTGCGGCGCTTCAGCTATTCGAAACTTACCCCCGAACACGTTTGTGTTTTGAGTTTCTACCACTTCCCTGAATATCTGTCGTTGCTACGTGAGCGTGTCTTAAACGTGAACGAGACCGGCGGACCAAAGCGAGTGCACGAGCGCGAAATTAACGCAAGGCGAACCGCGTTCTGCAAGGAGAAACGACGTAACGATCCACGTAACTGCGGACCGATAATCGAATGCAGACGGCTTGATTAAATCACTCTCCTCACATCCCTACGCCGTACGAAACTAACCCACCCCATCTCTCGTCTCCTCGCGCCTTCCTTCCTTCCTTCCTTCCTCCTATTAGCTATTTCAGCCTCTCTGTTTCTTCTCCGTATATATTTACGTAATGTACATAGATATCGCGTGTACATACATAGTATGCGTCTCGCAAAAGCAGATTGTGCCCTTTCATCTTCGACTATTAGGAATTAAGGGGGCAACAAAATGATACATGAACCGAGATTATCGAAAATCAAGAATCGTAGAAGATTTATAATGCGAAAGAAAGGCAAAACATAATTTAGTAACCGTAACGCGGTTTCTCCCGAAATAAAAAACTGAGAGGAATAAAACCAGTCAGCGAATATAAAACTATTAAAAAAATATATATACATATACGGTTGAAT